GCAATCCTGAAAAATATTTGGGGGTGCTTAACTTTTTTCCAGGTGTATATTTATATAATGGTCATTCTGAAAAAATCCTTCTCTGATTCTTATTATTAATTGATTGGCAACCTAAGGAGGAGTTTAAAGTTCTATAATTGCAAAAGAATCTTATACAAAATATGTTTTATCATTCTGTTTAATAATAAGTATTGTTGTATTAAAATCAATCTCTCTCAAGAATACGTACTAATTACCATTTCTCTTATACTAGTGTTGGATGATACACAAGAAGGCTACTAATCTCTCTCAGGAATACATACTAATTACCATTTCTCTTATACTAGTGTTGGATGATACACAAGAAGGCTACTAATCTCTCTCAGGAATACGTACTAATTACCATTTCTCTTATACTAGTGTTGGATGATACACAAGAAAGCTACTAATCTCTCTCAGGAATACATACTAATTACCATTTCTCTTATGCTAGTGTTGGATGATACACAAGAAGGCTACTAATCTCTCTCAGGAATACATACTAATTACCATTTCTCTTATACTAGTGTTGGATGATACACAAGAAGGCTACTAATCTTCTCAGGAATACGTACTAATACCATTTCTCTTATACTAGTGTTGGATGATACACAAGAAGGCTACTAATCTCTCTGAGGAATACGTACTAATTACCATTTCTCTTATACTAGTGTTGGATGATACACAAGAAAGCTACTAATCTCTCTCAGGAATACGTACTAATTACCATTTCTCTTATACTAGTGTTGGATGATACACAAGAAAGCTACTAATCTCTCTCAGGAATACGTACTAATTACCATTTTTCTTATACTAGTGTTGGATGATACACAAGAAGGCTACAGTCGTTTTGATTGCTTAATAATGATGGAAGTACAAAGATATGATTCCGAATATTTTTTCTGATGTACGAACAGAAGGGTGTTACTCAGTACCGGATTAACACGTAGGTCACCTAGGCCGGGTCTAGGGCCCACTAAACCTTAATCTGGCTTTGGTGTTACTAATTTCAAGTCTTATTCCATCACACCACGAAAGGAATAACTTTAATAACACAATAATAATGGTTTCAGTTAACAATTTGGGTAGAAAATCGAGGATTTTGGTTTTGAATTTTTAGTCTCATCTGTGCAGCCCAGGCCGTTGTTTATATAAATAAATATACCCCGGGTTTCTGTATGTCTTTATATTTTTAACATCGTTAAGTTGTTAAAATAGTTGTATTAGCCGCTGACTTATCATATAACCATTAATCGTAATTACCATTCATGTTAATTACATGTCTAGTGTAGTAAATTTCCTCCCGGCAACTATAAATATGTTAGAATTTACCAAACTATCGACAAAAAACAACAACAAACAAATCCACTTCTTTCCTTACTGCCCCCCCCCCCCCCCAGGGGCACAGTCGTATGTCTGCGGACTTACAATGCTAGAAATCGGGTTTTCATACCCGTGGTGAGCAGGGTACAGATAGCCCATTGCGTAGCTTTGTGCTTAGCTTCAAACAAACAAACAAAACTTTCTTTACTAATTATAAATTATTCTTGTTTATTATAGGATAAGTGTTAAGAATCCAACCTTTTAAGACATATGTAATTTCTGTTTTTAACTTTTTTTAAATTTAGTGTATGTATTTTGTCCCATTTAACATTATTTTCTATATAATTTATAGAACACTTATAGAACAATTTAACACTTATTTTCTATATAATTTATAGAACACTTATAGAACAATTTAACATTATTTTCTATATAATTAAAAGAGTAACGTACGTACGTGCGAGGAGAAGCTTTTTAAACATTATTAAACTGTGTAAGGGAGTACGGAAGGAATACGTCACCGTATGTGTAAGTAAAGGGTAAAGATGAGAGTAGCTAGTACTATACATTGCATAGGGAAATAATTGAATTCTCATCCTTCAGAGCTCCATTTGAGACAGCAGTGTTTATATGTTAAGGTTTGTGTGCAAATTTGTTCATTTGTTTTAAGAGTACGGGTACTGTCACATTGTTGAATATGGACCTGGGAACAATATCAATGAGTTTTAATACTTGCTCCTGATACTTACGTACTGAAATCGTCTCTAGATCAGGTGTCTCGTACTAAATAAGTCCATCAGTTTTAATACTTGCTCCTGATACCTACGTACTGAAAGCGTCTCTAGATCTGGTGTCTCGTACTAAATAAGTCCATCAGTTTTAATACTTGCTCCTGATACCTACGTACTGAAAGCGTCTCTAGATCTGGTGTCTCGTACTAAATAAGTCCATCAGTTTGTCATTTGCGATCAGACCTTCCGGGTCAAAGTGTCTTTTGTATTAGATGTTTGGTGAGTATCACGTATTGTGGAATAGGTTTATCCTCACAGTAATTAGGACGCCCCACACGGCCATCAGATTTCTTCAGAACTCTACCTACCTACCGTATTTGCCGATGTATAAGACGATATTTTCTACTTGTAAAACAATGCATGATTTTACCCCTCGTCTTATACACAGGTTCAAAGATAGAGTTCCAGTAAGAACTCTCCGGTTAATAGCATATTTAACCAAAACTACGTTGTTCCTTACATTTTCTATGCTTTTTTTTTGAGTAAATGCGTTGACATTGTGCCACCTACTGGGGTACAATAACATATTTGTAATTGTATCATTTGTATTGATTCTCCATAACTAGAAGTTAGTTATCTCACATGCTAGTTACAATTTATCAAGATATTTTTGGTTTGAAATGTATTGATCTCATCCGTCATACTAAAATATTGCTAATATTATATCACAAAAAGTTAGTTTCTGTAACGTACACTAATTTTGTAAACATGTTTTACGAGTAGATCTCTATATCTTTAGGTTTAATTTTTTTTTTGTAATAGAAATGGACTGTGATGAAAATTTTGTAAAGTTGTATATTACATGTTTGTGACTTAAGTTATGCCACATTAAGCTGTCTGTAGCGTTTGAAGATAAAAAAAACACACTTAGTGGTTGTATTGAATACCCCAGAACGCAGATTATCACAGTTTGAAAATAACATCTAAGAATTTCTTTAGAATTAATTTGCTCAAAAAATATACGGGATCGTCTTAAACACCGGCAAATGCGGTAACATTATACGTGATTAGTCTAGGCAGGTCACTTAACTGTAGGGCAGCAGAAGTGATCCTGGTTGGTGGTATTTTGTATTTCCATCCTAGCTTAGTCTCCTACTTTGGGAGTGTCGATTTAAAACGATATTAAAAACCGAACTTGACCTGTGAGTACCTATTGACACAAATAATGTTGTGTAAAGAAATATATTCCGTTCTAGTATTACTAAATGCATTAATACACTTTAATTAGCTTAAATACACCGCACTGCCTTTACATTTTATAAACTTTGTGCATTGAAATACAAAATACCACAACCAAAACAACAACAAACAAACAAACAAATAAAAACAACAAGAACAAAAAATATGTTTCGTACGAGAAGCACGAGCATCCCCTCCCCCCCCTCCTCCACTAAAGTATCATTCTATCCCGAAAGTCTATTCTGCAATGAAATTCTGGACTAGTTTTCAAAATTTTAGAAAAACAGAAACAATGAATATTACCGGCATATCCACTTTCTTTACTCACATCGCACAATTTCAGAACATTTCCAACTAAAGTGAATACGAAGCTTGTTTGTACTTAAACAAATGCTAATGCGAATTCTAAAAATAAGATTCTCTCCATAACTCACCACAGATTGGCCAATTGTCTCCCTTTTGAATATTTCCGGAAACTGGGTTTGTCGTAACTCGAGATACTTTTGAAGTCTAGAATAAGAGTAAGGGTAGCTGAAAGCAAACTGGTAGACATCATCTTCACGATCGAACGCAAAAGCGAAAGAAAGAACATAATTGTTGCGATGCTGAGGACAACGGTAGTAGTACACGTACTTACTCGGCATGTGTTGCCTATTAGAACATAAAATCACACCCTTTAAAAGTTTTGTTTTCAATACTATTGGATAATAAAAATACTGTAATCGACTAATTACCTTAATCTTGAAATATTAAAAACATTACTTATCTTATCAGATTAACAGTTAAGATTAGAATGTTTTCAGTATATTACTCGGCATGTATTGCCTATTAGAACATAAAATCACACACTTTAAAAGTTTTGTTTTCAATACTATTGGATAATAAAAATACTGTAATCGACTAATTACCTTAATCTTGAAATATTAAAAACATTACTTATCTTATCAGATTAACAGTTAAGATTAGAATGTTTTCAGTATATTAGATGTACAGACGTTTTTTTTTATGTTTCTCAGACCCTGTACTTTTATAGGTTTAAGAATGTCTTAACGGCTATTTATAGATGAGGTAAGTTAATTGATATTAATTGCATTAAATATTGATATAAGAAGATATCGTAGTTTGGTGAAAAAACTATGCAAAAATTTCACTTTAATTCAATTAAGCCAAATCCAAACCGATCGTGCACGGTAAGTAGGGTCGACTGCAGGGTAAAGTATAAAACTGAAAGAAATATGACTCACAAATAAAAAAGTGCGTGAAACTAGAATATCACTAAATTGTAGAGACATGCAGCTCATTTTCGACATATGGACTTTATATGACCTTAAAAATCAATGGCAAAATTGTTTCTCACAATTTGTAGTGAATACTGGAGGGATTTAGACATTTTGGTTATAAAATTAGAAAAAAAAACGACATTTACTCCCCGGATAACAATAAAAAAACCTTTTTATTTCAAAGTAAAGGTCGTTTTTTCCCCAATTTTATTGTCTTATTGTATCATTTCATGACTTCGCTTTTATCAAAAAGCTGAAGGAATTGTTTTTGGCTCTGCTATGACGACGATGATACAAGAATGAGCTGAAACAGTTATCATATTGAACCAGATGGAGCTGAAACAGTTATCATATTGAACCAGATGGAGCTGAAACAGTTATCATATTGAACCAGATGGAGCTGAAACAGTTATCATATTGAACCAGATGGAGCTGAAACAGTTATCATATTGAACCAAATGACTTCCACCTCGATGTGTCACCGGCAAGTCTGAGGGCTTATATCTCTAAAAATCTGGTTTTAGTACCCACGGTGGGCAGAGCAGAGATAACCCATTGTGTAGCTTTGTACTTAACAATAAGTCAACGACAATAAACAAAGCCCAACCCTCACAAAATATACTAAGTAATTCTCATTAAACTTGTCCTTTCAAAGAAAATTAAATCAGTAGGAACACCCCAAAAAAATTAGATATTTGAATAAATGGGAAATAAAGATAGCGTCTTATCATAGTGTGAAGTAAAAAAGTACATGTTATCAAAGACGTTCGTTAAGTTATTTCGTGTGAGATATACATTAAGAATATGTTTTTTTAATATTTATAAATGTATTTAGGGGAATAAATATACGTGTAAGACGTACATGATTGTTCATGATCCAAACAACAAATTTTGTGGACAGAAAATATACAAATTTCCAGCATCTCCATCTGGTGAAATATATCATGCTTTTTCAGATGTTAGGTTTGGCTATCTAGATAAATTCGCAAGGTAAATTTGAAATATATCGCTGGTTAAGTTTGGCTATCTAGATAAATTCGCTAGGTAAATTTGTAATATATCGATGGTTAGGTTTGGCTATCTAGATAAATTCGCAAGGTAAATTTGAAATATATCGCTGGTTAAGTTTGGCTATCTAGATAAATTCGCAAGGTAAATTTGAAATATATCGCTGGTTAAGTTTGGCTATCTAGATAAATTCGCAAGAGAAATTTGAAATATATCGCTGGTTAGGTTTGGCTATCTAGATAAATTCGCAAGGTAAATTTGAAATATATCGCTGGTTAGGTTTGGCTATCTAGATAAATTCGCAAGAGAAATTTGAAATATATCGCTGAAAATTGTTTATAGTAGATAAGGTATTTGCAATTTGGTAAATATTTTGTGCATGGTAGTGATTCACTAAAATCCATGGCCTGGTTGTTAAGGCAATCTGCGGGTCACGGGTTCGAATCCTCATCACCGAACATGTTTGCCGTGGGGGCGTTATAATGTGATGATCAATTCCATTATTCTTTGGTAAAAGAGTAGCCCAAGAGTTAGTGGTGGGTGGTATTGACTAGCTGCCTTTCCTATAGTCTGTCACTACTAAATTTGCGACGGTTAGCGCAGATAGTCCTCGTGTAGCTTTGCGCGAAATTCAAAACAAACCAAACCAAAACACTAAAGTTTGAAGTATGCTCTTGCTTGGCATAATAAGGCACACAATTTGTGTCAAACAATTGTCTTTAAACAAGAAGTTTCATTTCATAAAAGTATCGTTAATAATTAAATGATACTAAAACATTTGATGAGCTAAAAACAAATGTGATCCTTTATCTATGAATATCTTATTGCAAACATCTGACGAATAAATAAATAAATAAGATAAATTGAATTATATATATAAATACATATAGTTGAACTTTCTTAAAACTTTACATTAGCTTAAATGAGTCACTGTATAAGTAAAGAAGTTTTAATTATTTTCTGTAATTTATATTTTGGCAGAGTACTAGTAGCACAAAAAGAAACTGCTTTCTTAAACTGTAAACTTTTGCATTTTAAAACAGATTCAATTATGATTTATATAGATGTTCATTTATATTAAAGCATTTTATATTAGAAACATGAACCCCCTTATAAGATATGCACAAAAAAGTCAGTATTATATAAATATAATGAAATATATATATATGAAAAATATTAATTCAAAGTTTGAAATACCAGTAATTTAACATGTAACACGAAGAAAAACGTTCGACGTACAAAACAGTGAAATATAAAAAAAGAAGGATTTAATGAATTCAGTTTCAAACAATAAAATTAACACTTCACGTAAATCACGCACTGTGATTAATAAGTGAAGTATATGTAATAATTCCAGGGCAGGTAAGAAACAATGCATTAGTCATGTTTCTTTCCGTAATCGTATTTATCATTTTCTTGGGAACATATTTAATTATATTTCGGAGCGCCCTACAGCAATACGTACACTGTATTCCTTCACACCCAGCTAACTATAGAATGTTATGTTATTAGGTAAATACATAAAATATCCTCATAGCCAGTCTCTCTATTTTCAATGCTTATAAACATGCTCGAACAGGAGATAAGCAACGGCTAGAATTCATCAACGTTATTTCAATTTCCTTAGCGGTTTGATATTATGAAGTTTCCTGAACAAAAGTATAGCTTTGCTATGCCTTCGCAAGGGTAATTGCATTTTTACGGTATATTTCTCGAGCGTTTTAACATTAAACTATCTAATTTTCCGTTTCATAGCCATATGACCTTTTACGCTTGCTCTTTATATTAGAAGAACATTTATGAACTTGTCTGTTGATCTTATATTGCATATTCTCAAGAATAAAAGTTGGGCTGGACATTGAAAGACGAGTTCTGGTATTGAACGAAAGGCCCCTTGGAAAGTGACTCATGGGAGACAAAAGATAGATTGAAATGCTCTTTTTACGCTCCTCTAATTTTCAATCCGAAATGGAAAAGTTAAGAGAAATGTGGAAAAAACCAGCAGTTTATGTGATTTTTATCACAAATGTTAAGCTCATTGATTTATAATGCTTGGTCAGCTTTCGGCGTTTAAACCATATCAATTAAATGTTGACTTACCCTCTACTAGCATGTTGTCAAATAAAGTGTTGGGAGACGGAATAAGGAGTGAACACTGAGATATTCTTGAGGCACGTGTTTAGCCGCAGAAATTCATTACTGTTAGCGCTTGGCCTACTTTCAGTTATATTTGTTAGTTAGTTTTTGCTCATTATTCAGCTTAAAACTATTTTTCTGTTATTATTATTTTTATATTATTTGTGTATCTGTAGATTCTCCTCAGACAAGATTCTACTGCCAAAATACATCGCCATCTGTCTTCTGTTGTGGAGCAGCTTGGATCGTTTCCCAGCCGTCAACGACTAAACCCCTACTCCAGACCCATAGTACAACACAAGTTTGTTCCAGCTAGAGTATCCTCCCCACCAGAGACCATCTTGCCTGTTAAAGACAATATTTCTGCACCTCCTACTAATCCTCCACTGTACATTTCTACACATTCCTGTGCTACTGCCACTTCCTGTAATCATGCAATCAATCTCCGCGATGCCGAGTCAAATGCACCAATTACTACTATTGTATCTCTACTGCCATGCGTTGGCCCTTCATGTACTTCTTCAGGCCCTCTCCAAATGGACACTGACTCGATGCCTATTTTTTCATATTATTTCCTTCTCTCAAATATAGGTTCCAATAAAGTTCAGCAGATAACAGCCACACGTAATGGAATGAGTACAAAATTCATTACCACCTTTTGTACAATGCGATGTGTAGCAAGAGGGGCGTTGCTACTTTGGGGATTAACATCATTAATCGGAAGTTTGGACCATCTACACAAAAGCAACAACCTCCACTTTACCGTACTCCACTACCTTCTGGCGTGATCAGTGGTGTAGACTGATATATGACATTACTGTTCGAAGCTATATTGTCATGGCTAATATTAATTATCATAGTATATATATATACTTCTATGTTACATTACTTTTAGACTTCAATGAATCGTATTTACTGATCTATTTTGTCTCTTCCATCCCATACTTGTCCTGAATCTAATACAACTCGTAATGTTGTTATGGTTTCGCGAAATTTGGTTTTACTAATACAAGTCCACATTCTTCCTCCAGTAGTGACCATTTTCCAATTCTATTTCAGCTGGTCACTAGAATATGTGACAATAGAGACTCTAAAGATTCAGATACCGGACCCATATCAAGAATGCCTGCATGATACGGTTATATATCTCTCCTCTCATGATTTCATTGACTCTTTCGCTCAAAAACTTGAAACTGTAATTACTTCAGCCAGTTTCAGGA